TTTTGGGCATCCCTGCCAGTGTGCGGCAAGTGTGATGCAATGTCTCCACATGTGACCCCATGAGACATGCATACTCCCATCACATAACCAGAGAAACACACATCCTGTGATAGGGTTTGACCTCATTTTGTCTCACTGGAAAAATGTGTATCTAGTTTTATAGCAGGAAAGGAATTGTGGGTCCCATGGGACATTAACAGGGAGCAGCCACTGAATATCCAGAAAAATTCACCCAAACCATGGCCTTCTCCTTTCCAGGGTCTAAGGTACCCCTGAGAAAGTGAACGACGGAGAGCAGACTGCTAGCAGAATGTGGTGCAAGGTCCACAGTCTGGCTACTCCTAAATAGATACAAGAAGTCTTTTCTTCAGTATAAGACAATTTTTTTTGTAGTTAGAACATGCTATTTTCAAGACTTCAGTTGCTGACAATCGAGTTTAAAGGTTTTCTTTGGTTTCGTACTACAAAGCCTCAACTTTGTACTTCTACAGCCAATCCTAGTACAAGCAACTACTACAAACTGTTGCTTTTTGCTCAATAAATGCCTAAACCAGATTTTTAAAAGAGAGAAAGGAGTCTGCTAGAGGTAGATCTATCAACACCAGAGAAATAAGTAATAGATAAAGGTACTCATACCCTTCCTTTCTCAACGAGATTAGTTATCATCACAATAACTTCTACGTTATGTTCCCATATCATTCTCCAGAAATCTTCTGCTGTTGATTTCAGTGGCCCTTGAGCTGCAATGTAGGCTTTTGGCTTGTTGTAGCCCTAAATTGAAATATAACAAATGACACTTGTCAAATCACAGTCTGTGAGCAAAAGCAGGTTGGGAGGAGTACATGACATTTTATGTATCTATTTTTAAAGAATCTCAAAAGCTTTTGAGTACTTTTGAATTTATAACTATCCAAATCGCAGAAACCCTGTGGTACCAGATGACATATGAATGCAACTGTTATATCAATGTTTATCATTCCAACAAATAGGATATATGTTCAAGTGCCCGTGTTCCTGCAGAATGTTGACATGATAGTGATTATGAGACATCTGTTATGTTAGTGGCTTAAAAAAATGAATCAAGATCATTCACATGTAAATTACTGGTAACAAAAACTGAATAAATGGTACCTCGGTGAGGCTCTCAGCCAAATGGCATCTTCCTCTCACGAGATTATCTCAGACAGAAGAATTAACCACTTAGCAAAAATGCATAAGAGAACAAACATTCAGATGCGAAATGCTTCTGAAATAACTCAAATGTGCCAGAACATTTTTTGTTTCATAGAGCTTTTCACTAAGCTGCAGCTGCTACAATATCAAGATGGATTCAAGAAAGAATTGGAGTTTTACTTGTGCTTTAACTTTGTAGGCTTAACTTAGATCATTAAAGGTTTTTTTAACAAAATCTGTAATATTGTGATACTCTTTTCCTAGTACGTCTATTCACCTCCATACATCAACATCAGTTTTTTACAGAAAAGGCTGACAGATGAATACGCTGGCAGATAGAAAAAGGCACTTACATCAACGTAGTTGGCATTAATGTAATCAGTCAGTTTTCCATCCTTTTCTGCAAGCTGTGCTAATTTAACCCTAGTATGATCATCTGTAGTAAAACAAGGGAGAAAATAAGCATCATTTTCTGCAAGAATTATATTCTTTCTATAAGAAATCTTTTTAAAAAATACTGAAACAGATTTTCACAATACGTACGAGTAAGACAGTGACAATCACATACACAAAAATCCTATGCTTAGGTACAAATCAGATTCAAAATCCTAGTTTGCAGAAAAATCAGCTAATGAATCCAAGGATTCAAGGGATGCAGAATTCAGTTGCCTGAATAGCAGCACCTGGGGTCATTTTAGGCACGGTGCCACATTCCCCTACAGCCTCCAGCTGCTGCCTGCGAAGAGGCACGGGTCTTCTCTGCGTCCTGCATCACGACTGCCAAGCTGGCACAGCGGGATGTCTCAAAGGAGAGTGGGCACTGGTGTTTAGGTACATTAATTCCACGTTAAAGAGTGGAGACTAGAGAGCAACGGGACCTTGGAGAAGCTGAAGGGCCCCAGCAATGGCTACCTCTGGGGAAGCTGAAGCTTGCTGTAGCCTGCACGGATTATAAGGACTAAAGACCTGATTTAGTTGCACGGGGTGATTCTTGCTACTTGAGCTGCCCTAAGCTGCTTGTGCACTGCCCTTTGATGAAAAAGTCACTGGGTTGGAACCTTTTGTATGGTCAGGTACAAACAGAGAGTGGCAGAGGGAAATCCCTGACTTTCCATCCTTCTAGAGGTATCTTCAGCCAGGTGGAATGGGATTTCTTGCTGCTGGTTTACATTGTCTTCTGCCCGATGGGCTGATTCTGTCTCTTTTTCTATTAAGCTCTAGTGACATTGAATGCTGAACGTATATTTAATTTAGAGCTTCTTGTTGTCAGAACAAAGTTGAAATACTACAGAAAGCTAAGAAAAATATATTAAGCCACCAAAATGATCAAGAGCCCAGAGGCAACAGCTTCAAAGAGAGATTAACAAAACCGAATAGATGTGCTTCAGAGAAGAAAAATCTGGGATAGTGAAGAAGGACGATGCAATGGGAAAACATGTTTCCTGGCTAATGAAGCTGATCTACTGCACTGTGGCAGGCCACAATACAACATAAAACCAGTACATTTACATTTATATATGACAGTAAATATATCCAGGGATTTTGAAGCTCCTAGAGAGGATAAATCATCATTATTCCAGATCAAAGATGGATTAATTTTGGCAATCAAAACACAGCCTCTCTGGCTTTATAATGGCATTATAATGAAATCTCCCAACTCCCTTTGGGTCATCGCAGAAGACACAAATATGTCTTGCTAACACATGGTCATCAAAGCAGCAGAATGCCAGAGGACTAACTTGAAGAGATGTGAAATCTTGTGCTATTCCTCTCCAAGCATTTTGCTAAGCAGTAGCCAGAGTTTTCAGTGTAGAGGTATCTTTTTCCCTCTAATAACACATAAATCTGTACTTGTCTATAATTATTTCTTAAACAAAACACCAAGTGATGCATTTACTTACAAGCAACAATGTTTATGTATCGATTCTTATTCTTGTTGTCAGGGTGATTAGAGCTGTCTGAGGTAATACCTAGATCTACAGTACAGCTCTGGATTTCCTGGGAAAAAAAATGTTTGTCATACTTTAGCAAGTATTAAGATATGTAAAATGTCTTAAAATACAGTAAGTCAGTACGAAAAGAACCACAACCTTATACCCAATTATCTATGATATTTTACAACTACTTCATTGCTAAAAAAAAATGCAGTGAAATAATTCCTTACCTGATAAAACTCTTTCAGTGTCTAATGAGGGAATGAATGCAAAAAAAGTAAAAAAAATCAAATTCCACAGCACAGAACAAATGGATAAAAGTGTTTATATAAATTACAATTACTATATGGAAAACAGTTATGGTCATGCAATATACATCTCCATAATAACAACAAAGCTGAATATTTTGACATAACTCTTAAAGGAAACCAGAGGTAATTTTTACTGTTAAAATACTGGCATCTGTTTTCCTATCTTTAGCTTTAATGTTAGACCTTAGGCCGGTGAAAGCTTATATGTATGAGCAACGTCACTGACTTTAGCCAGATTATCTATATATTTAACTGTTCATTGGATTTGTTATCGGTCCTTATAACTGCATTAGTTTCTCTGTGGAACGCTTTTGCTCTCTTTGCATTCAGCTGTAAAACCTTCACTGGAGCAGGATAGCGTGCGGCTCAGCCAGCCGCACCGCACCAGCGTGAAGGACAGCATGACAGCCCTCGGTCTGCCAGCAGTTTTTCTCAATGAACCCAATGTTTTTATACAGAGAGAGACAGGCTTGAGAAGGCAGGCAGAAAGCCTGTAAGACTCATAAAATTATTGTCTTTTTTTCTATTGATTAACTGACAGGAAACTCAAGCATTTATAAGGTCCACATTGCTAAGTAGGAAATACGTTGTCATCACTAAAAGTACTATAATAATGTTTCTCAACACTTTTTAGGATCTATTTTAATATTAATCACCTCCAGCTATTTAAATATATATGTATGAAAAGTTGTTACCAGTCTGAAAATTAGATTTTAAATGTGAGTTGTTTTATAGTAATATAAATAAAAAACCTGAACCACCCTTGTACTCTCCAAATGTATGCTGACTCTGCAAAGACAATGACTATATTTCAGTGTTTCCGTATCTTCTAAGTTCTTTATCAGTAGAGAAAAGACCAGGACAGTAATTCTGGGGTAGTCTGTAAAGCCAAAAAGGATCTCCAAGAAATGATGAGGACACTAAGTTTTTTGTAATAGTTAAAACAAGCATGAGATACTTCAGATGGTGCAGGCGTAGCTCAGTGAGATGTAGTATATTTGGTCTTTGGATCACTGCTGTAATTTAGGAAAAGAATAATTTAGGATGAACAATTTGATTCCTGAATTGCTGTCCTCATTACTGGTGAAAGAACTTTGTTACCATTGTATTTACACACATTCCTTCAACATCTGCTCTCATTAACAGCCAGTCTAGCTGGAGCCCAGCCCTTTCAGTGCGTAACATATGAACATGTACTGGACATTCACAAGTATTTACAAGTTTGGTCCCACAATCAGATGGATATTCTGAATGGGAAATGAATTGGAGAAGAAATGCCGATAAAGGTTAGGTGAATGACGTGGAATTTTTGGTCCATTAGATCACAACACATTGGCTGGGGAAACAAAAGCAAAACCAAAAGATGCAAAACTATGATTTTTTTTACTTTCAGTATTGTTGTTTTTTTTTACAGTTATATTTTAAATTAATAGAGATCAATTAAAAAACTTGTTTCCATCCCAACAGACTGATTTTGTCAGAAATCACTTGTCAAGAATTTTAATAGCACTGCTTTCATTACAGAGGTTGAGTTCATAACATTTATTTTATATGAATTAAGTTAGAACGTATCTATCTTTAAATTGCCTGTAATGCATATGAATGTGAAAAACAATGAAGTTCATTAGCTACATATGGTGATAGTAACATCATATGATGAGAGCATATGTTTCAAAATTTTGAAATACCTCTTATGAACCATATACTTTAGGAAAGGAACTGTAAAGCTTTCACTACCACATATGAAGACTACATTAGCTCCCCTGTTAATCAGAAGCGTTGCCACGTGTAGTCATTATTACTTCCTTTTTTTTTTTCTCTGTAAATGGAACAAGCAAATGTGGGTAGCTTCTGCAAAATTCAATTGGCATTAGTGCTGGAAAAGCTTCAGATCTACAACTGTATCTGATAAACCATACAGATTGCATTATCTTTGCATAGTTTATTCATATAATCATTTAGCATTTTATCACAGTGATAAACATTCCCATTTGCATCCCGGTCCTGTTAGCTTTTATAAATCTCCCTAGTCTTTATGCATAAACAGCCCTTACTGGGCTCACAGTACTTGTTATTTACACGCATTTATGAAGTTGGTCCCCAAGTCAGAATGTAATGCCCAGTTCTTTGTTTCCAGGCATTTAAACTTAACGTTATTTGCATGTGCTAAGAAGAAAGATGACGTCATAGAGCCATACCTCAAATTCTTCAGAAAAACCATTACTTGCATGTAAATCTGCAACATGTTTTGGAAAATGCTTTATTGGAATTGCTCCAACATCATCTTAGGGGTGGGAAAAGACAAAAAATACATTTATGAAGAATAAAAAGCCAGTGACATATAAAGAAGTTTATACGTAGGCAATCCACACAACATCCTGAAATAAAATCTTTCGCATGAACTTTGGACATACAACTCCTACAAAAATAAAGACACTCTTCAACACCATTAATATTTCTAAAATCATTCTCTAACACTTATACATTTCTAAATGACTATTAGGAAAGAAGATACAGAAAATGCCTGGCTAGGTCTTGCTCTGTCTTTAAGCCCCCCAAATCAAGATGCTGATTCTGCAAGATGCTGAGCTTGTCTGCAAATTGAAGAGCACTCTGAACTCCCTGTGAAGTCAAGGGGAAAGGGGAGGATTAGCAGTTTGCTACAAGACTTTCAAAGGGAGATGGTAGGAGCAGAGCTTTGAGTAATACTGATAAAGAGAGAATGATAAGGCAGAGTCGTCTGGGTGCTTTAGGCTGATTAGTGTTGCACTGGGACTCTGATACAGTACATGGACCAGTCACATAGTCCCAGGCCTACTAAATTAATGCTGCATTATGCCAGTAGTATAATGATGCATTGCATGTTTGCGTTGGCATCCAAAGGAAACAACAACTAATTTTCATCTTTTATTGCATTAGTAAGTACTTCCAGTAAGGATTTTTTCCCCCATTCTCCCCACGACTCTATGATTACCTATTGATAACAATCTTACGTCTGATCCTGGGAGTACTGACTGCAAATTTTCACATCGGGCTTTATACGTCACATTTTAAGTGAAAGATTTAAGTTTAAAACTTTCTGGATACCCAGAATATAGAATCATAGAATCGTTATGGTTGGAAGAGACCTCAAAGATCATCAAGTCCAACCTACCCAACGCCCCCATGTCCGCTAAACCCACTAAACCATGTCTTGAAGCGCCACATCTAAACCTTTTTTGAACACCTCCAGGGATGGTGACTCCACCACCTCCCTGGGGAGCCCGTTCCAATGCTTAACGACTCTTACAGTGAAGAAGTTTGTCCTAATATCCAACCTGAACCTCCCCTGGCACAACTTGAGGCCATTTGCTCTTGTCCTATTGCTAGTTACCGGGGAAAAGAGATTGACCCCCACCTGGCTACACTCTCCTTTCAGGTAGTCGTAGAGAGCGATCAGGTCTCCCCTCAGCCTCCTCTTCTCCAGACTAAACACCCCCAGCTCCCTCAGCTGCTCCTCCTAAGACCTGCATCTACATTCTCAACCAATAAATGTGATTCATGTAATTTCTGGGTCCTGATACTGAGTCTGAATTTTCCATCTGATGTTTATATTTCAGGACATTACTTTATACAAATACAGAAAAACACTCTTGTGTAGAACGTTCATTAGGGATCATGTCAAAAACCTTTGGGACTTTTAGTCTTCTCTTTCCTGCAAATATGCTATGTAAACAAAGTCATCTGTTCTGTTAATTACCTGTTAAAGGATGACATTATTTCAGCTAGTTTTGGTTCTGAAGAATATATTTCTGTTTTTGTTTTTTAAGCCTTTCATGGATTAAAAATATGTTTATTTCATAATTTGTAATTTCATCACTGTTTCATATGAGAAAGAAACATCAAAAACATTGAACAAGGACCTGTAATTTACATCAACAGATGTTCAGCATTTAGGCCACCTAATAATTTTAGCTTTCAGTTACCAAGAATTTGTTGATTTGTATTGAGATCCATCTGGTCTTCCACTTACATGAACAGATCTGAATACAAAAAGTGAATTTATCCAGTCAAGCCTAAGAGAAGCCGAACAAATGTGTAACACTATCCTCACACTTCAGAGATGAAACCTGGCATCAAGTGTTTATTCTAATGATATGCAAATACAAAACCAGAGGGAAGGTAAACAACCCTAAGAGTGAGGACAGTAAGGGAGAAAGCGATCTCAGGTTTGGTGTAATTACTGTTCTATTTCCTTGGGAGTGCTAATCTCCCAATTCAATCACTTCTGACTCCAGGAATATAGTTTATATCTGGATGGCAGGTATCACTTGAAAATACTTAGAGCTTGATAGTGGGTCCTAATATTACCCTGTAATTCATGATTTGTTCTGAATGCATCTTGGAATTATGCTGTGAAGTGCCAGGGCATTTTCTGTGAATAACTGCAATTCTCCTCCCTCTGCCAATAAAACCCCACAAAAGGAAAACTTCATATATAATGAGATCTGTGGAGTGTGCTTTTAGTCATAGTCATAACAAAAAATTAAACTTAGCAGTTACAAAATGCTCTTCCTGCTCTACGCTCTTTGCCAGTATCACATCGCAGTTAGTCTCAATTGTTGTAAAATTACACTGCTGAAACACTTGTGTAATAGACAACACAAAAACTGCTCACTTGACGTCTGTTGCACGCAGAATAAAACAAAAATATTTCTTCGGTGCTTGCAGCTTTTTCCATAAAATATTTTATGTATCTTTCAATCACTTAGAAACACTTTTCTCTTTAAGTTAATATTTATCAGAGGGAAAACCTCCAGCATCAAAATACATATTTTAAGCACTCAGAATAACTGTAAGTGCAATTCTGCCTTATGACAATGGAAAACACTATCTCCCTGAGGTGAGCTGGTCAGGAAAAACTGCAAGAAAATTATACAGTTGTACTGCAATATAGTTAATGACAGAGAGTAAGAGCAGAGATTTCCTATAATGATTGCCACTTGACATTCATACATAATCACGTTTTCTGGAATCAAGCTATATCCCTACCTATTAACCGCTGAGAAAAAGGTTGTATGTCTCCTAACAATAGCAATCAATACAAGAGGCATTTAAAGACGCCTACAATTCAGTTACAACAGAAGCCTAATGTTTGGGATTTATTTAATTAAATGTGTTTACTAGTTATCTACACAAGGGCTGATTTTCCTTCCCTTAGTCATTCTAAGGGAACCCATCCCCCTGTGTAACAACAGAGTTTGCAAAAGCGTTACTTGTGGAACAAGATATCTTTTTCTCATGGGTGAAAATGTGGCTCAGGATCTGCTGCAGAGTTAATCTATTTAAGGTACTTTTCATTCTACTCAGTTTGAAAAAGCTGGGAGGGCTGCACGTGCTCCTCTTTGAGGAGGAAAGAAGATGCTAATAATATCTTGCACTTGTGTATCATTTTTATGAGAGGCTCACAGGCAACTTTACCAGTACTAACCATGCTACTAAAATCTGAAAGTTAAAGAAAACGTTGTAATTGCAAATGAAATGCAGATAGATGAGGCATATATTGGTCCTGCTGGTAAAAAGAATAGGTCATGTTCTATATATAGGTGACAAATTCAATTAAAGACAGAAATATAGCAGAATGTGTTGCTGGTGTAATCCTCTACTTTGTGACTGTGAACTAGAGCTATTTAGTATAGATGGCTACACTCGCAGCCATTTCTAGTGAGGCTACATCTCAAAGGGCTTTGAAGACACAGGGTATCTTTGAGACAACTCTGTAAGGTGAGGATATTTCCCTTCTGTGTTAACTACAGGAGAGAATATTAGTAACACTGGTCTCTGCCTACGTCAAGGGCACCTGTGTTTATTAGTACAAGAGGGTAGAAATCTCTGGTTTACAGATGTTACAGTATGTGAAGAATTCATGTGGACACACAAAAACCAGCATCTTCCAATAGCTAACACCAATCCACAGAATAGTCGACAAAAAATACCTGAGACTGGGAAGATTGGAGCTGGGGGAGCAGAAATCACTCGAGGTGATGTATTATCTTCTAAATAAAAGTGAGCCGTCTGGAAACACTTCCTAGAGGGGAAGAAACATAAATAAATATTGCATAAAATAAAACATTATCTGAGATATTTTGGAATTCTGGCATTATTGAGTAAGAAAGAAAATCATGGTTTTGAAAACCAGTTTTCACGGAGTGTCAAATACTACTGCTATAATACAAACATTCCCCCAACACACCACCAAATTATGCATACCACTTGAAGATACTACACTAACTCAGCGTAATACATAGTTCATGCATCTTTACCTATACCAGAGGCAGAAGACAGAGCACACAGCAGACATAGTGAAAGCTGAAAGATGAACTCTGCATCAGGAGCTACTGTAGATGCTGCACAACAACTCCAAGTATAAAAAAAGCCATTGTCTTCCTTGCTTATCCAAATTCGCACACATAATTACTGTTCCCTTTCATGTGATTATGCTAGCCTGACGATGGAGCAGTGTACGAGATCAGTTCTGGTAATTCATCGGTAGATCCTACTGCAGACAGGGAAATGCAGTAAAAGACAACATGCCCTGTAACAGATGTAACGGCGGCTCTGGAACTACTATGATTGGGGCTAAACAATTTTTTCATACTGTAATCACAACACTGAGGGACGCCTTAACCAAGGAGGACTTCCTGAAGTTGACAGACAGAAACAGGGGAATTTGTAACTCCAGGAGATGCTGGTTTTGCTGCAAAAACATTGAAGTATGAATACAAATGGAATCAACCTTTACTATGACCCACAATGTTATTTGTATCTGTGCTGTAAGCCAGATGTGAAGATAATAAGAACAGCATCTGTTAAGAGTCCAAGCTATTCAAGGGACTCAATAACCAACTGCTGCTGTAAGCATTGCAAAGCCTCCTTAATTAAAAAATCTCCATATGATTAGACATGCTAATAACAATCTTTACTCTGGGTCACTTAATCTATTTGAAATATTATTCGCTAATCATTAAATTTAAAAAGATATATATGCATCAGGAAAATATTAATCTCATTTAATATTTACAAGATTCTGCTTCTTCAAAGCTGTTGGCTGAAGCAATTGTATCATTGTTTGCTATTTTGTGTCATCACTGTTATTTTAAATTCTCCTGGACTGTTCCTGTATCACTGCACTGATAAAACCTCTCATATAATTGTTATAATCAAAAAGAAATTTTGAAGCTACTTTGAAAAATAGATAGGGAATATGTGGATGTTGCCATTCTTTCCAGAACCATGAATGTAGATCATAAAGATTTTGGTAAGCTTATTTGAATTAAGCCTCTGGGAAACATGTCCATACTCTTGGAATGTGTTGGGAATTTTCTGTCTATGTACAATTCAGATTCTCTTAAAACACAAGAAAAAGTGGACACCTATATCAAAGGGAAAACTGTGGCCTGCGCAAAACAGTTCTGGTGATTCACATGCCAATTAAATGTGGAGCCCAGCTAGAATCCTCTAAAAGCAGACTTGTGATGTTCATAGAGGAGCTTCGGCTTTGCGTGACATGTCTGGAGTAAAACTATCCATTATGTACTTACTTTTACTTAGAAATGGCAATTTTGGATGCAGACAAAGAACACATTCAGGATGTGCTTGGGAACATCTTTCTAATTTTCAAAGAGGTTCTAACATGAGTACCCCATAGAGTTAGGGGCTGCAGAGGTGAGAGAGGCTGTCTCAATGCTAGCATAATACTCAAGAGTTAGTCTCAAGGACTGTGTGTGAAACGTCTGCGAGAGGCAGGCAAGTGTCAAAGTACTTCAAATCATTACACTCTTTTGGAAAGTCTGGTCATGCCTGCTGGGCATGGAGAATGCTGGTGCACTGTGTTTTATTAAAAACAGCACCAACCAACCAAATGTGCCAACCAGCCTCAAAGTAAAGCCCTAAAACCAAAAAATGTCCTCCCCCTAATGCCTACTGCATATGAACAATGATCACACATACAGTTTATGGACTAACATTACAGAGTTTTGTCACCTCCTTGCCTTGAGAAAAGATTGAGCTTAAAAAGAATTTAATTAGCATAATGGCTTTCACATCTAAAGCAGTACTTAAAATGTCCCCATAATACGCTGTACACTCAATATCCCTCACTGAGCCACTGTATCTTTAATCTTTAACAAGTTAATTGTGGCTGAAAATAAATTACACCCTTAGCACATTTGGGAGACAAATTCATAGCAGTTGACTTAACCTGTAATAAGACTCATAAATAGGCACTCCATCTGCTTCTGCATCAGCAGTGAAAGCCTTCATGACTAAACCTAATGTTAATAACCACGTCTCGTTAATTATCACTTGTTGTTAATGAAAAAAGTGAAGACTATTTCAAACTTCCAGACAAAGGTCCCATCACTCAATGTTAACCTGATTATTTAATTTACGCCTTTCATCACAGCATTTAGATCTTCAACCTAAAACTGTAATTTGTAATTTAGACACCGCACTTCTTCAAACACACGCTTTATATATGGAGATAGTGCTAAGCCATCGAATTAATTAGAGTGTCTGTATCCGTACGGGAAGGCATGCAGTAGCAGCTCTTCGGTTGAACAGGAGGAATACCAGCTCTGAATGAACGCTTCAGTGAGAACTACTTGGGACAAGACTGCAGAAGACATCGTTCTTCTGGCGTGCGGGTCCCCGGACCTTGACTGAGGATATGTGCTGCCTGCTTCTCCCCTGGGGCAGGGACTGCTCAGAGCTTGGTCGGAACTGTCCCTGGGGCAGGCAACACAGCATGGGGCTGTGCACGCGTGTGTGCACGTGCGTGTGCGCAGGGTGTTCACCCCTCGCGTCGCTGAGGAAGGGACCTGAACCTTGGAAGTCAGAGGTGTCTCTGACAGGATGGGTTTGCACATCCAGTCCTCGCCCAGAATGGTCTCAGAGGCACAATTACTTCTTTCTCTGAGAATTTCAGGGTCTTTTGTGCTCACAGGGTATCTGCCAATAGGTAGTCCCAAACACTTACTAGCATTTATTTTTAAATGGTTCCGATCGTTTAAAGAGCCGATTGATCCAAAGGATCTTTAAATGGATCCTCAATGGATCCAATTATGCCAATTACTCCATTTTTAAATGGTTCCAATTAATTTGTAAGTGCTTGTCAGCTGAAATTTTAATTTGCAAATTTTATTAACACTTTTATTTATAATTCCATGTCACATAGTTGAGACGTTTTCCTTCATGGATGGATGAGTGTGGCCTTTGCAAATTTAAATTTTAGTGTGTCTCTGCATATGTGAGTTTAACTGTCCTTAGAGAGGGTTCTCAAATCTGTTCCCAAAAACCTAACACAGGACTCAAGGCATCAGTTCAAACCATGGATAAGAAAATGAACATTCTCTGACACCTGAGTTTCAAAGATATAGGATGGCAGCGGAAAGTTAAAATTTAAATGACTACTCAGGGTGTTGTCTGTCATTGGGTTGGCCATTTCTGAAGCGTTGCTATCATGTAGGACACTTCATGCCAGCCAGCCAGCTGATATTCAGTATGTCTATAGATCCAAATATAGCTGGAACTGCATTAGCGGTTTGCTGTTCACATTATTGGAGCTAGTCTCTTACCGAGATTCAGATACATTTGTTGAAAAAGAATCTTGAATGGTACAACTCCCACTGACAACTGTTAACCATTTCACTATTTTCCAAGCTCTTCTTATGATAACCATTATAAAATTTGATCTGCACAAACAGGCTGACATTTCTTCCTACACATCACTTCATCAGGTTTATTTTCATCCATCTCTTCTATGAACTGTTCCAAAACAGTACACACATGCATAAGCAATTTCTAGTATATTTTATGTTGGCACAGCGAAACTTTCAATTTCAGTCACCTTAACAGATACGGTTCACTCAGCAAAATGGGAATGATGAAGCCATCCAGAAATGAAAAGAACAGAGCAAGGAGATTCAAATATCCCTGCTGCACCTCTGCTGCAAGGACTCAGTCAAGTAGATAAATACTGAGAAAGACGGATAGACTCTAGATTTGGACAGAAAATTCTCTCTAACACTGTAAAAAAAAAATCTATCTGGACATCAAGGCCATTAAACAGGCAAAAGAATCTCCTTGTTTGTTCCACTGTAATCTTAATCATGCTGAAGAAACGAAAGCAAAATGACATTGCTTGAAAATTGCTTGAATTACAGAAGATTTGACACACAGAACTACAGTAGTTCAAAATTGTGTATCTTCCTACTGGCAATTAGACAATCTTTAGACAATATTGCCATTAAAAGTTTTCATCCCTGTCAGAGAAATGAATATTTTATCACAGAAGGATTGCAATTGTGCCTAATGAGATAGTGAAGAGATTGGGGAATTTCCTCAAGTGCTGATTAACAATTTCATGTAAAGAAAAAAAAAAAACCAAAACCAAAACCCAAACAACAGATGGTACAGAATTATTTTTCTGATACAAGTCATTCAAGTGAAGAACAAAATAATTTTGCCTTTTTTTAACCTTGAGAAACTGGAACGTGTCGCTCTTGGTAGTTATTGGGTTTTTAAACCAAATAACACACCTTTTGCATAGTCAAATTAGGAGCTAGTAGTGGAAACAACTCAAAGCACTATCCACTCAAATACCCAGCTAGGATATACCAATGCAAGTTTTTGAGTACTCTTGCCAAAGGAATACAGAATAACTTCTTGCAAACCTAAACTTTTTATGAACTTTAATAAGTGAAAATAATTGGCCCACATAAAAAAAAGCATTATAAAAAGAAACACTGACAGCTTACACCAACTATTTCAAAATAAACTAAATCTAACCATAAAAATTCCTATAGGCTTTTTACTAATATTTTCCAGGCTTAATAAAAATTGCATAGCAATGAAGTTAATGTCCTGATTTTTCCCGGGCTTTAAAAAGAGATGAGGGTCTTGGCACCTTTGAAAGGCAGCCTCAAAGTCCTACCTACAATACATACTGTTTATGTTTCAGTCTTCTGAAATAAGAAACATGTTACTGGTGTTATAATGCCAAGAAAATTTTCTTGAGGATTAACAAAAAAAGAGCTCCACATTTTATTTTGTAGAACACAAGAAGTACAGAAAAGATTAAATTCAAGACGATATTACTGCTAAAGGGATTTTTGTTTTATTTTGAAAGACCTATGTTACAGAATTGTTCATTCCCAGAGAAAGAATACGAAATGAACACAATGTTATTCGACAAAAACAAGCTTGTAACGTGTCGGATTACTAGAACTGCACTGTACAATCTGGGTCTTAAAATGGATGGTGTTCTTTGGTAAATAGAAGATTTCAAATACTATTTAGTATCAGGGATGAAACCCTTTGGAAGATGAATATGAACATTCACGTTGCATAACATGACAGACAGGAAAAGGTTATCAGTATGAAAGTGGTTAGCTGGAAATCTGGTGATGGACAGTATAATTATCCAACTAGGCATAAACTAAGAAATGAGTTGTGCAATTCTTATGGCAGTGAACTACTTCTTTGGAAAGAAGAAATCTTTCTGAAAATTCATTGCCCGAGTGTCTTTAATCATACCAAAGGCTGTCTGACTTGCTAGCACACTTGCCTGGAACAAAGGAAGCTTGAACTCAATTTCTTAAGCCTAGTCTGTTCAGGGACAGGATGTATTCTGTCCCCATGTGGGACATACCCTGCTGTGCCAGTAGAAAACCAGTGCCAGGAGACTAGAAGAAAAGTCAGTAAGCACAAACCTGACATCATAGCCTAGAGATTACAGTAGTCAGTAGCTTGGAAAGGGCAGTCTGGGGTCTAGCTCTGGATTCTTCACCATTTTTATAGGTGAAGCAGGATTGAGTAGGGAGGGGAAAAAAAAAAAAAAAAAAGAAAGAAGAAACAAGCTCTGAAAGCATCTGTGAGATGTTTGGGCCTGCCTTCCCCCTTGCTCGTACAACTCCTGGAAGAGCAAGGTCCCGTTTCTTGCTGCTAGTTTATGTGTTAGCGCTGCAGCAGCAGTAACAGCATCAGGTTCCCGGCAATCACCAAACACCAAGAATCTCCATGGCAGGAAGCTTTTGCAACTTATTTCCCCCTTCTGGACCACCTCTCCGTTTCCTCCCTGGCAACCTGCACGCTTGAGAAAGTGTTAGGGTTGTGCATGGATTTTGAAAGCCCTATGACAGCTTAAGCAGACGTGCCCCTAGGAAGACTGTGGCTTTATCCAAAACCAACGAAACAGAGCCAAAGGCTTGAGCGCTGCCACATACTGCCACATAGCTAACTAGATTCCTGGTATGCTTTTAGCTCAGGCCAACTTGCATTATTTCACACAATGCCTGACACTGTTTGGGGTCAGCACAGGGCAGAGACCATCCCCGGTCAGTGATGTGAATTCAGCCACTCTGGCTTTTCCCCCTGCGAGGGAAGAGACTTCAGCTGTACGGAAGAGATCTGTACCATGCCAGCTGGTCTGTTTTATTTCACAGTACAGATGTAGTCTTTTGCTCTCACTCATTATGTTATCGTGACTTCTTATAGCTATCCCTTCTCTTTAGCCTAATTTTTTCTCTTATTGTCTTACCAATTTATCAAGTCACAGAGAAACACGCCCGCAAGGGAACCTGAGCATGTGTGTGCACACGAAATACATCCTTAGTTACCTGCTGAATGCTTGGAAAGGTTGGGGGGCAAATTTTGGTTTGGCAGAATCACAAAGCAGAACAACTTTTTCACCACAGAACATTGTAAGAGTCACTCAGTAACCGATTTCAAAACATGTATACTATTACAGTATCATTAAACTACCCCATTTCTGTCTTGCATACAATGTCAGCTACAGCACACTCCTACAGTCCTGTAAGAATTGCCTACTCACATAGTCCTGTTGAGGAGCACAGATTCTCATCCTAAATTGACAACTACTTTTTTTAACTGCTAAAGGATTGGAAAGATAGGAGACAAACTCATGCCGCGCTATTTTTCATTTTTAACTGCTAAAGGATTGGAAAGATAGCAAACAAACTCATGCTATGCTATTTATTTTTCGTGTCCCTCCTGTTCTTCCCAGTGCTCTGTTAAGTCACTTGACTTCTAGGCATTAATAATCACAAGTAATTATTTACTAAAATCTCTCAATACGGAAATAAAATATCTGTAATGGTTCAACCCTCTGCAACTAAAAAGATTTGTAGTTGAGCATTTTGGACAGAAACCACCTTATTTTGTCAGCTTTATGACACTGCGGCACTGGGAACAATGCAAAGACACAGTGAGAGACAAGATTCAGTCTCCCTCCTGTAAACCAGCTCAATAATGTCAATCACATTTTTCAAATCAGAGCTCTTTAGAACTGAAAAAAAAAAAACCAACCAAAAAACAACTTACCTCCAGTATATGAGAATACCCACAAGAATCACTAGACAGATAAAAGTCAGGGCTGATACGACCACAAGCGGTATAACTGTCTTCTTCTCTGATTCCAGACTCTCAGCTAGACCGATACGAGACTCATGGCTACTATTACTTGCCTCTGCAGTCAGAGAAAATTGAAACAGTCCATGTTTAAATTCTGAGAAATGCACAGCACGAGCCAATGCGTCTTATAATGAGCCTACTTAATACCACTTACCTCTATTTTTCACTACGTACTGCAGAAAGTGTATACATTTGCAAACCAGCTTACAGAAATTAAGCAGATAGAGGGTAAAGCAAAGTGTTCAAGCTCATGTGACTCAGCCTTCCAGCAGTGGAGACTTCTCTTTGTAAGAATAGCAGATTGTTGTTAAAATATAGGAGAGGAAAGCTTTTTTATTTTCATCTGTTTATTAGCTGAAAGCCAACTGAGTTAAGGAATCTGAATATATAATATTGAAACGTGTAAAGAACATTTTGATATTAAACTGTCCCTCATATAATGCAAATCACTTCTCTGGCTAATAGTTTAAAAGGAAAATTTTCTTACAATAGTCCCTATGTGCTTGCTGTACTGCAGTATTGCAGTTAAGCCTTCTGTATTTTAATACATTGCCCATTCTGTAACTTGCCTTATAGATGCATCCTGCTTCCTTTGAATCCAACTGCAGTACTTCCTCCCCCAACTATACTGGAGCCAGAATTAAATTTCCTACCTCCACCTTTACAGAAGATCAAATTCTTATTTAGATATTGCCTAGATTTCACATTTCTGTCAGCATTGTAATGCTGGGTGACAAATATTTGGGCATAGGAATCTCGACGAAGACTAAAACAATGTATTTTATAACCTCACTAAATAAGGGAACACAGTGGTGCATGAGGCCAATCCTGCATTTTTAACTTTTGTCACACCTCAAGAAGTAAGCAGCTTTAAAACTGTGATTTTGACACAAAATGACTGATTCTTTTCAATCTGTGCAGTTTACTGTGATCTGTGACTATCATGAGCTAAAACACAGAAATAAGCACTTTTGCACTCGTTAGAATTAAACCCCTACATTTTCTAAGAATGTTTTCTGCTTTTGTGAGCAGTCCTAATTCAATGAAATGTTCTATATGGGAGCTGAATTTTGCTATCTAGATATCAGCTGCACTCCATGGGGATTTCAAAGGACCAATTCTACATCAATAAAACACTTTCAGACAAAAGGAAGGAGGGAATGGAGTTGGATCTGAAACAAAAAAAAAAAGACAACAAATCACATGTTCTAAATAGGATGTCAAAACCCAAACAGCTTCACACAGCACAGATTTCTAGGCAGTTATCTGCTTGCTTCTATTTTCCTGAGTTTAGGGGCTTCCAGGGCTTTATATGGAAAAATATCTAGGCTCTGATCTGGCAGACATCTTGGTTTTAGTTCAAAGCACTCTAACACCTAAATCAATCACTACTCTTTAAATCCTGTAGCTCAGTGGGCAAAGTGATTGCAGGCACAAGTTGCTTCTGAAAAAATCCGTCCCCAAGTTTCTGGTGAGTAGGCTAAAATCAGTATTTCCTATTGATTTCAGAAGAAACTATGTGTATGCATGAGAGATCAGAATATGATCCCTTTGAAGCATTCATACTTGCTTATCCAACTCTGGGCTAATTCACAGCGTAAAACCCAGTCTCATCTGTGTGATGACAGGGTTCCTTCAAACTGCATGACCAAAGCCTATGAGGATTCCTTCTATGGGGAACGAAGAGCAGACTTCTGTAATGGGGGGTTCTTACCTACTTGGCCATCACTCCAATGATGGTGGTTGAAAATCCATAGAAGACTTCTTTGCTCCCTAATAACTGATCTGTTCGGATCCTTTGCATATTTCTTTATATTAATTTCCCTTACTGTTTTTCAACTGAAGTCGAAAGGTTTAGGTAGCCATAGAGGTCTTATGGAGAAAGCCTTAGTTCAGAACAAGCATTAAATATGCATCAACAACTACAAAGACTGGGAAAACTTTAAATGACAATTGTTTTCTGTCATGGTCACAAGAAGACATTTCATCAATTTCTGGTGAATTCACTGTAATGTACAAATAAGTTCTCAGTTGAGAGTTTTTTTTTGTTTTGGTTTGGGTTTTTTTGTTTCATTTCTTTATAACTGAATTAAGCAAGTATGTCTTTGATTTACAGGAGACCATGTTAGACATGCTCACAGTGAATTTTCAGTTTATTAAAAGACAATATTTGGCATTATTGATTGGAAAAAATAATGTACATGAAATGATACTATATAGTGTCTTTCAATAATATCTAGAAGACAAACTCTAAGTCTGTTGTACTACTCCTCCTCCAGTAATGTATAATCTTTTTTGAGTTACTATCAGTAACAATTCAAATGACATTCATTATGGAAACTACAAATCTCTTATGGTAACACTTATTCACATTAGTAACATAAGTTTTGAAATATTAATGTTCTTTTTGCTCTTTTTTAGTGAAATGTTACGTATTTTACACAATGTGGTAACTACTTACCTACTGAACTAATTCACTTACTGATTCAGTTTTATAACACCTACCTTGTTAGGATTCCTACTAATTTCAGTATGTTTTCTATTTGGTTTTAATTTTTATTTTCTATTTTTCACATTCTACTAGCCCCAGCTACACAGAGTGTCAATTTACCACCTTTTCGTATTAGTATTCTGTTGCCCATGAGCAATACAATCTCATGTGATTTAACTGTGTTCTTAGTAGGACTGGGCCGAAAATTTCCCAGTGAAATTTGTGGATCCCATTCCTTAGTGGGTTTAGTTGAATGATACTGCCCTCTACAGATGCTTCGAGTATTTAAGTTCAATTTATTTTCTAAAATACCAATTTAACTTTGTTTGTTGGTGGTTTTTGTTTGTTTTTTTGTTTGTTTTTGGGTTTTTTCAACCATCATAGATTGTTTCTGAGTTTACTCTTGGATTTTCAATACTCTAACAAGAGGCAATGCAAATTATGTGTCTGAATACTTCAGGTTTTCCACAATGCATTTTTAAATACAAAGGAAATGCTTTATATTTATCAGGTTTTTATCTTGATGAGGTTCAGTTTTGCCTTTTGACTTTATCCTTGGCATCACAGATCACAAACACTCTTGCTAACTTTAAGAGGACTAAATAAGAAAATAGCACTAAATATAAACAGGTACAGGAGAATCTGGCTCTAAGTATTTTAGAAATATGCAAATCTGGCACAAAATCTGCAACAAAAATCATCTCACTGAAATCTGAAGGTGGTATACACAGTAAGAACAAAAATGAATGTTTTTATGAGTTAAGATGAATCAGAATCAAACTGAAGCATCTTCTTCCTTGCTCAATACATCTTAGAAAACACAAAACAAGACACAAGGAGGAAATATGCTGCTGTAAGTTAAAACCCACAATCTCAGAGGTACGTTTCCTCTGGCAGAGGCATGGTTTCCTCTAGTGTATTTCCATAAGGGCAGCGTTTGTCTTTATACAGAGAACTTACATCCTTCTTAAACCTTTAAAACTAAAATGAAACAATTAACATTGAAACAAATTCTGGATTTAGATTGTGCACCACCCAACTTCTGCTGATAGTACGCATCTATCCAAAAGCAGAGCATGCATCTTCTTACTGAAGAATATTTCAGGTGCTGTTTTAAGTAGCCGTAAGCAGCATTCACAAGATAGCCAGCTCAGCATGCACCCCTTGTGCCCCAATGCTTCCTTAATCACACCCACTGGCACTGTTATGTTCTCCTTTTATTATACGTAGATAAACTTTCTCATTCTCTATGGCACAAAAGTATCCCCTCACAGCTTTCCACGGTATTCATTAGACTTATCCATAACTAACCTGCCTCAGAGATGTTGAATACTGATGAGTGATCGCTAGTAACAGATGAGGCTGATGACTGTGATGATCCAGGAGTTAATTCTGAGTTACCTGCTTCAACTGCCCCTTCAGTGTCTCTCTCATTAAGGTCAGGAAAACTGAAATCTGTTGAAGTTTCATTATCATTAAGGCTATCTGAGGTACCTTGGCCAGAACCACTTTCTTCATCACTTGTAAAAACAGCCCAAGACTTAGACTCTGATGTGTTCTGCAATGGGACACTAGCAGTCTGAATGTGGTTCTCCAAAACTGCCGGGTCGTTGTGCTTCTCAGGTATCACACTCGCTGTCAAAGTCGGTATGGATGTATAATTACGTCTGTCCGTGGCATGGTTTATCTGACTGTCTGCTGCAGCAGTTGAAATTTTCTCTTCTTCTTCAGGTTTCTCAGAATGTGAGCTTATAATTAGGTTACTCTGATCCTTGTTATTGTTTACCTTTGTATTTTGTTCCTCTACTAACATATCCTGAGCTTCTCTATGGGAAGTGCATGAGATACAGTTACTTACAGGGAAGCCATCGTCATATTCATCGTAGTCATCCTCAACTACAGAAGGCCACATATCGGTACTGGACATGATACTGGGAGACAACCCAGAGGATTCTCTAGAAGGAACCAGCAACCTACTCAAAGTTACAGGGATCTCACTTTTGGGTGGATCAGCCGTAACAGAAATATGTACATTTGGTAAAGGAAGAGTATGATGAATGGACACATCAGAATCAGAAACAACTGCAGGCATATGAACAGGGTCAAAACCAAGCGTAGAACTTGAAGAGACACTGGCAGCCTCACTTCTTTCAAAAACACTTGAAGAGACACGGCTGTCTGCAGGAGTGGCTACATGTGGTAATGGATCACCTGTTAGGAAGGGAGTTGTTACGGCATTCGCTGCTTGGGGGGGAAAGGCATTTATATTTTCTAAACTGGTCAGCTGGAATGAAACATCGCTACTGTACAATGAAGGCATAACCTGCTGAGCATCTTCACTGTTAAACAAACTGGATGAAACATATTCCTCACTTGCATAAGAAACAGATAAACTTTGAAGTGACGCTGTGGGCTGACTAAAAGTGTTTGGCAACATATCAGCAACGGAAGGTGCAGATGTAGAATGCAGCATGGTTTCAGTTGTAGCAGAACTCGGTGCCATTTGATGCAATATTTGGTCAAATGTAGAACTATCTTTATGAACCCTGGAGCTTTCAGCCAATATTGGATCACTAGGCACAACTGCAGCTGTGATAAGCAGAGTGCCATCGCCAGAAGACTGGAAGGAGGATTGCAGTAATACTTCGTTATTTAATGTAGCTGAGGTCTCATGAAAGTATGGCTGAGTCGAGGATAACATTTTGCTATAAGCAGGGGCAGAGAGAGCTTGATCTGAGCTCGCACTAAGCATAGGTTTAAGCAAAGTGTCATCAAAGGCTGGAGTTGTAACATGCAAAGGCTGAACGGAAAGGTGATTTTCTGTAAGTTTACTAATATCAGGATCAAATATCTTAGTAGTGGGAAAAGCAAGAGAGACTGGAAGGATTCCCTTTGTGCTAGAAACAGGAAGTGGGCTTTCTTGCAGAGACGTGTTCTGCTTAATTACATCATTATTAGAAACAGATGTAGAAAGTTCAGGTATCACTTTACTTTCAGCATTGGAAGCCATTTCACTTAAAGAAGAGGAAATGTGCAGTTCTCTCTCATCTCCATATACAACATCACCTTTTTGAAGCATCTTATTAACATCACTAAACCCAGATGATTCATACGTAATTTCATCTACAGAATCAGAGGAAGAAACGTTAAGTACCGTCAAAGTATCTGTATCAGGCAAAAGGGACTCACTACCAGAGTATGCTTCAGACCAATCCATATCACTAGATAGAGAGCGCGTAGGCTGCAGCAGAGTATCAGCTTGTGACATTACAGAAGAAGGTTTATGCACCAGTACATTGTTATAGCCGCTAAATAAAGGATCTTGACGAAATACGTCAACAGAATCATGCACAAATTCTGCGGAGTCATAGGAAACAGTAAAGCTTTGGAGGGAGCCCACATTACTAGACAAAGCGTAAGGAAGTTCAGACATTGTAGACAGTACATGCATATTTAAATCACTGCTGGATGGTTCAACTTGAGAAAACATGTGAGTTCTATTATGACCAAATATCAGTGTCTCTGAAGCAGCATGAGTAGTCTGATGTGACACCACATCAGCATATTGAGCAAGGCTTGCCTGTATTAATGTATCACCCTCTGCCAATGTCAAAGAAGCATGCAGGGACACCTTATCACTTGCAACAGCTGGAGTAGCACTTTGCGGAAACATTTGAGAAACTGTATACAAACGGTGAAACATTTTACTACTGGAGGAAGCAGAGGAAAATGTAAGCAAAGGTACATCATCATAGGAAGACAGGGTGGGTTCAAATGACACATCAACACTGGGAAATACAGGTGTAGCATGCAAGGTCACATCACTATCTGATGTAGCAGGGGTAGTGTCGAGCATCTGAGAGTCAAACAATAAAGGGGTGACTAGAGGAAACACTTCACTACTGTAGGAAGGTTGAAGAGGTATCTCACCATTATAGACTGGTTGAGTTGTCTGAGAGAGTACCTCACTGGCAGCAGAAGCAGAACCATATTCTCCAGAGCTTGAAGAGAGAGAGTGAGGTGATAATTCAGCAGAGGAGAAAGCAAAGGTAGAATAATGTGGCAATTCTAAATCCGCATCTGAAGTGTCTTGTGAAACCACTGGGCTGCTGGAATAGGGCACCGTAGCTGGCTTTAATCCCTCTACATAAACATCAGTGTAACTGGTCTGAGACAATTGCCTGCTATCCAATATATCAACAGATTGCGTTGTCAGATCTGTGGCATTCCGAAACCATAAACTTCCGTCAGTGGAAGAAGTCTGCTTTGGAGGCTCATTGGAGCTTGAGGATGCTACGCCTTCTGAAATGTACTTAATGGAGCCGTGCAAAAGAACATCATGCATGCTTGTATCTGGGCTTCCTGAAGGAAGGGTGTCTTCTTGGGAGGTCTCCTCTGTAACCAGCTGTGCTGAAGAAGTGGTAAGAACCGAACTCCAAAAGTCATCAGATTCCTGATGAGGTTTAAAAGGAGACAATAAGAAATCTTCGTCACTATGGCCAGTAGCGGTTATTCTTGTCGGCTCAGTGCCTGAAGAAAGGTATATGTATTCCTCTTCTACGCCTTTGGTGGAGTCAACGAGTTGAGGAGGAATTCCAGTAATTGTTCGGGATTCCAAAAGAGGATCTTCCTCTTCTTCAGAAATTTCACTAACAGGTGGAGAAGTAGAGTAATAAACTGCTTTGAAAACATCATTCTTACCCTGCAATTCTTCTTCTCTTGTTAAGTATCTATTTGTTTTAGCTTCATTGGGTTTTGTCCCCATTTGGTCTTGGCTGTAGCTGGATGTAGTCACCTGGAAATCTTTCCTCATTTGGTTTACTGTACTGTCAGTGCTAGGAATCACTGCAGGTTCTTCATCCACCTCTGTTTCCTTTTCATCAACTTCATCCTTTGAAAAAATATCATAGCCGAAGACAATTAAAAATGTTTATAGACACTGTACACAAATGAAAACCAAAACTGCAATAATACATTTTCCTGGCTCCACAAAAACAAGAGAGGCATACCAAGACAACACTTGAGAAGACTGTTGCTCTTAAAGTAAAATATTTAGCTGCAAGAACAGGTATCGTCTTCACTGTTGAACAAAACATTACTGATTTGCAATCCAAAAAAAAAAATCCTGTGTCACAACCACTTCTTAAATATTGCATTACTTTTACGCTGGTTGAGAGGCAAAACCCACTCACAGTATTTAGTCACCTTATTAAAAAAGCTCTACTTCTTTCCTATTAAAATGCAATTGTATATGAAGTACACATCAATGAAAAAATGGTTTTGCTATCAGAATGTCTTGGAGATTTTCACTAATATCCTGATGTTGACTAAATTGTCATAGTAACAGAATTTGTGAAATACATTTATGTTCTGTCCTTAAATCTGCTGAATCTTCAGTTTTCTGGAAAAGATTTCAGGCTGGTCAGCATTCCTGTAACAGTTTCGCAAGTGTTGTGAGTGATACCACCTAGTTCCTGTTATGGCTCTTTGTTTGCTGAATATGAATAATGATACCTCATGAAAAATCTGTGTTAGAGTTTTGACTTCTAAGGACAGGTAACAAAAAGAAAGAAAAAAAAATTACATGCCTAAATACAGTCAGGGCTTAGGCAGTCCTTGAGGGTCTAAGTTCAAACCATTTTGTCCTCTCTCCAACTCTCCCTGCCTCAAATTGAAAAATGTAATGTGGAAGCATTTAACTTGCTCAGCAGGCATTTTCGTTTTGACCTAGACACAGCTGCACCCGCAGCTCTGTACTGTGCCCCCATCCCGAACTGCATCAGAACCAAACCTGGCCGAGCCCAACTCTGCAAACTAGACTGAGGGACACCTTCAGTTTCTGAAGGGACTTGATCTGATATGCACCCAGCGCCCTAAGAGACATCAGCAGACAGAGCCTCTCGCAAAATACAGTTGCAACTCCTTTTTCTTCTTTTTCTTTTGAAGCTCTGGCCTGGTGATGTGGTGGCAATACCCACCTGTTTTTATTCAAAAGCAGAATGTTGAGAGAAAACACCCAGAAGACGGGACACTGGAACACAGTTATCAGTCTAAGAAATCCTCAGTTTCCACTATATTTTAGGCTGAGTAGATCTCCCACTCCTGCACTGAAGTGAACAGGGCACAGCAGAGTGAACGTAAAATCAATGCCTTTCAAAGAAAATGCCCAAGATGAAGCATTGCTGAATAAACTATTAACTGGGGCATTCAGCTAATAGGAGTTGTTAGTTTTTATTCAGTCTCATCAGACAGAGGGCTTTAAGCAGGAGGCTAGAGCTGTGCTTCACCCTGCAGTCCCTTTTTTGTACCAGGAAATTCTAGTGCACTCACAGACAGTACAAGGTACCTCAGACACGACTCTGAGGTTTGGGTTTCATTCCAAGGGCTAAATGCCTAAAATGTAGGGGCAGCAGCATCCAGACTGTGTGTACTCAAACCTGGACTGGACTGGACAGGTCCTTGTTTCTGAAAATCTACTTTCTGTAGGGCAATGCCTGCACTTTTTAACTTCCTTGGTTCAAGTAAAAATCAAGTGACATTCACTGGCACTCAGTTACTGTTCTGACAGATGCAATATAATAATCTAGATACGTAGCTTACATCAAAAGAGAAGTAACTGTATTACTGGTTACTCAGTGTCCATAAATACAAGGGAGGGTAAACAGACAGGTAAAGCCAGGCTGTTTATTTAAATAACAAGGGCATGCCACTCAAGTGAGAAGACTGTGGTCATAGATTGAAAGTATAAAATAAAAATTCTGAGGGATTACTTGATACAAATGTAGGTCTTACTGAAGGAACTGTCCATGTTGCAAAATTGGTATTAGACTGTTAAAAACAGTTGTGATATTTTCACCTCTCTTCTTGCTGGGACTCCAGAAACCTAATTACCAAACATGAAGTCTGCAGAGGTTATCATAAAAACACCCATAACTGTGTAAAATAGAGTCATACTGCAAAGTCTAACTTGAGTTCAAGAGTAAGAGTAAATGACCCTCTAAGAATTTTGGGATAACTGTTAAATTCAACTGATAGCACACTGATGACATACACATGTGAATCTCACTCTTCAGCACAGCTGCTAAAGCAGCTTAGTTCACTTTCTCCCTTAGTTCACTACATGCTAAGACCATAGGCAAGCCTAAGTCAGATTTCTCTTTAAACAAACTAAAAAGCCTAACACTGGGTGAGAACTTTGATTCTGCTAAATGAACAATTCTATCAGACTTTACTCAGAGTACAGTGACTTAATGCCCCATTTTCAAAAATATTTAGGCATATCCTGTGATATCCCCTACTTCTCCATATATCTCCAGCCCCAGAGAATGACATAGTGAGATCTCTCGAGTTATCTAGGCAGAAACATAGCTGAAAGAGAAGGTTGTATATGTATATATTTGTATATATACGTATATGTACATATAAATGCAGATAATACATTCAGTTGGTGATATAGTTTTGTAAATTTTCACAGAATATCAATTCAATTTAGTTGAAATGCATGTATTTGAAAAACTCCCTTAAAAATAAATGGATGCTATACCTCATATTCTTCAGTTTCACTCAGTTCAGGAATGAGGTCAGCCTCTATAAAACAAAAACACACACCATATCATCCAACATTTTAAATTCACAGAATTACTAATTCTGCAAGGACTCAACTGATTAGTTAATATGCTTATTGAGACCCAGTCTAAGATGTTTCATAGGATAATGTTCGGAGAAATGGCCAACTACCCGGGTTGAGGACTAGTTCTAAGGGTAGCAATGCTCATCTAGACAGGACACGTTCAGCCACAACAGATTTGCCTGGCTCTAATTTGATGCTGCAGCAACACATGTTGGATCTGCACTGAGGAACCATATCCTGGCCAGGGAAAACCAAGTTTATGAGAATGTTTTCTATGAGCAAGTACAGTTTAATGCAGAGATACAGGAGAGACAAAAAAGGTAAGTCTGGGAATCAACTATTTCTCTACATTTAATCTGAAAACTCTGAAGAAGTTCTTGTAAAATGATCTGTCCTATAATTTTCATACAGCAAATTCCTCATTTGTGCACCCAGGCTTGGAGTTAGACACTGGGGCAACAGCCCTGCCATCGTGTTCAGCATGCAGACGGCTGCCTGCCTCCGTCTGGGCAGACCAAAGAGACCCACCTTTCCCAGAGCCCACCGCTTACGGCCTTTTTCAAACTCCCACTCCACCTGATTTAATGTCAGGACAGGAACTCAGTTGCACCACTTCCCACAGAAAGTCCCCAATAAATAGGTACTGGGTGCTCTGTGAAGAACTACTCTAAAGGCTCTTGAGGCCTTCCTGCATTTCATAAAGAAGTACCAGTTGAAGCAGGATCAAGAAATGAATCTCCTACAGCCCAGGTGAAAATTCTTCTCTCTAAATTTAGAGGTAGTATTTCACCTTCCTTCTCTCTGTCTTTTTGGCCAAATCCAACACTGTATTACTGATGGTGGTCAACAAGACAGGCTTCAAAGCAGGTTGTAAGAAACCTACAGATCTCTGGTAGGATCTGGCATAGGTCTCTAGTGATGAAATCTAATACCCCTTCTACAGCATTAACTCATCTTACTGCTCCTTTGGTCCACAGAGACATCCACCCCCTTTTCTGAATCTTTCTAAGGCTTTCTCAGAAGCAATGTTCTAGTGCTCTGTCCACACACCGGTGCCAGCACGTATTCTGAGGGCTGATCTGCACTAAGCCAAAACCCAGTCTCTTAGCCTGGGGAGCGATTCTAACAATAGCATCACACATTGCTCCATGTCTGCATTTCCTCCACAATTCCCAAATGAAGTTTCCTCAATACACTAGTATAAAGATGTCATCTTTGTACTTCTCATCTCTGCAAAGTCAGATGGGGATCTATGACCTAATTTGTACTCTCTTTGGTCTGCCCGTATCTACCTTTCAAAACAAATTGAGACATGTATTATATGCAACATACACTAGATAAAGTTTATCACACTAGATAAAGTTTATCAAACCAACAAGCTCATACCAGTTTTATTTGTAGATTATAGCATGCAAACAAATTTTGACTAAACAACGCTTCCCAAAATCTTTATAAATTGTTCTTTTGTAACAAACATTCATAAATTACCAAGTACTGAACTAATCTTTCATTATCAAAATAGAGAAAAATTATCTTACCTCTGACTCCTGGAAGCCTAGGAGGCTCTGGGGCAGGATGGGGAGGGGAGTAGAGGGGAGGAAGGGGTGGAGGAGATAATGATATTCCCTGGCTTCTTAATGATATAAATCAAATACTGTAGACATTAAGTTTGAAAGTCTTCCCACAGTAGACACATACCATGTATTATGTACTCAACAGACTTCTCTGAAAAATGTTTTTAATACAGAGAAACTCTATCCATTCTTTCTGTGGGCACTATTCTTGAATTGAGCTTTAATCAGACTCAATCAGAAAAATAAAATGTGCTGATTGTGCTCAAGTATGCAGTAGGGTATGCGCTCTCAAATTCCACCACCAGAAAACTAGTTTCTTGCTGTTGTCTCCATGGAGAGGCATTAATGTATGTGTATATATATATATATAAAAATTAATACACAAATCTTCAGGCATTTTACAGAGCCTATTTAAAATTAATTGGTCACGGAAAATGTATTTGTCAAAAGCATTAGAGGCACGCACTTATAGAAGTTCTGATAATCCTGTTGCTGAGTTTTTGATTTGACAGGAGATGACAGAAATCTGTTAACATCCCCCAACCAAGGAGAAGAACCGCACCCTCCAAAAAACAACCCATTGATGTAGGTCGATGAACAAGCTTGTTTATTTTTTCTGGAACCACATATTGATTATTCTGTAGCTTACATTTTAAAATAAAATAATTAAATCATTAGTTAGTTTTGTAGAGGTCTTTTCATAGTCCATTTTAATGACAGACGAAGAAATGATAGAACAAGACAAAAAAGGTAACTTTTTTTATTTATGTTCAATGCAAATCTTCTAAAAAATCTCTTAAACGAGTCTGATTTCTAATTGTAGAATAGCATGCACAACATAAACTGTTTTCATTTCTGTACTGTCTTATGAAATAAATGGCACAGTAAGAACAAAAGTAAAGCCTGTTTCTTCTGATTAAATTAGTTTTCAGATTTCTACATTTATCAGTACAAAATTAGAAAAAAAGCATCCCCTAAATGAAACATTTAAGATATGCTAGGTGTTTTTAGGACAAAAATCACAAAGACAAGTTACAAAGAAATTGCATAGTTAAAGCCTCACAAAGCATTGCTGACAGCATGAGCTGCCATGCAGGAGACAGCATTTCAGAGCCACGTCCCGGCATGGGCTTTTTGATAAACACCAACTGAAGTCTACACAAAGGAAGATGAGAGGGGAGATATATTCTTATTTTTCATTTCCTGTGTCAGCAAAAGCATGTAAGTAACACCAGTATTAACTACACAACAAACTAGTGCAGAACTTTCAGGGCGGTACAGATGTTACCTAGAGAGTCAAAGCACACATTTAGATAGTTATTCAAAATCCAATTCTAGTAGCAAATGAAAAATTGGTAAATAAAGGTTGGACTTTTATCAAAGCTGACTAAAACACTACGTACATGGTTCCCTTCATTTTCAATGAAGGTTGTGTAGCTACATCGTGGAGGGCATCCGGTGACTTTTACTAAATGGAAACTAACTGGAAACAATTTTAATGTGCACATGCACTGTATCACAAGATGAAAGGCTGCCACTCCGAACAGTTTAGGAAAAACCCAAAGAGAAGAGGTCTCAACCATGATAATTTGCCCAACGTCGTATCAGAGCTCCTGGGGCTTCCACAAACTGAAGCGGAAAGCATGGCCTGGAAGAGGTCCTTCCTCTTATGAAGCACTGCTGAGAACGAGGGGGTTTAAACCTGGTCTGTGGATGACCCAGAGCCTGCAGACCTCTCACTAACCCCATACGGGAGGCCCTCAGACAGGGTGGGGAGAAGGCATGGGAAACGCTCTTTCTTGCAAGTATCTCAAAAGCAAAAGGCTGAAACCATGGTCATGAGTTTTTTGAACAGCAGATTTGTGTTGCACAGTGTACTGAAACTTCCCTCATTAAAAGTGGCTACTCCAAGGGCAGAATTCTTCCCGGAAAAGGGCCCATCTAATGCTTCTGCATGACTCATGCCTCACTTTAGATCTTAACATGAAGATTAATTGATCTGGAGGTGACTGCAGTGAATTTCATCTTAATTAAACTGGCTTACTCAGAGTAATTCTTGAAAATGAAAGTTTTAGCTTATGCTTTATGTGAGTCAATTTTATTTCATGTCTTCATGGTGAAGATAACTTTTCTTTCATAAATTCACAAGCAGGAGCTCCAAGAAATCCCCTTTTGCCTCAAGATCTATAAAGCAGATCACAAAACCAATTTGATGTTATAGTTGTAACCAGCAAGTTGCTCTGAACAAATCTTTCTCATTAGATAGCTACATTCTCATATCTCTGTTGTTTAATAAAATATTAAATATGAAAATATTTGCAATATTTGCAACAGTTAATTCAGATGTAAATAATTAGTAAAAGTAAGTATGCAAATAAACATTAATATTAGAAATGAATGGAAGTTTTTTTCATATTTTAAAATTATATCTAGGGTTGAGACAGCATCTATGAAGCGTATTTATAGAGCAATGTACACCCACAGGAATCCTGCTAATTATATGGCAGGGATTCTTCCCTGAATTTTCCTCATCCAGTGTTTTCAGACATACCACTGTGGAAGTGTCAAAATAAAAGAACACAAAGTACATTTAATAACTCTGCGTCCATTTCAGATAGGAAGCATCCCAAATAAACAGTTTTTCTGAAACACACAAAATATTCATCTTGGTATTACATTTTTATTTATGAACTTCTCCCTCTTTTAAATTTTTTCTCATTTAAAAAATTTATTTATTTTTTTTTAAAATTTAAGATATCCTTGAAACATTTCATTTGACCTGAAATAATCTTCCTCAATTATGAATCTCTGAAAACTAAAGGAAAAACCTTAGGTAGACCTGAAGCTATTAGAAATTTTCAGAACTGCCTGAAATTTGAAAAAAAACAGGTGTTTATACAGTTCCGATATGCAGATTATTTAAATCTCCCCTTTACAACGCTTATTCAAAACCAAGCAAACTCAGGATAAGAAAATACTTATATACATTAATTTGCTTTAGTGCAACATTAAGGAGACATATTTAAATGTTCAAATGACAGAAAACACAAAAAATACCTTTTTCATAGTTATGCTAACCTGTTTGTATTTTATATAGAGACAGCTTTACATTGTTATGCCTCCTAGGTATCCTTGCATTGTGTTTTCTCATTTCTTTAACAAAAAGAAATTAGTGGTCTGTGTAAAAAAGCATGAAAATACCAGACCTTCACTCAGAACTGCTAAATATAACACTTATTGCACCAAATTATCTTTTCCGAGAACATAAATCTCAGAGAAATTTCTGCCGATACACTGGAAGGTGAAATGAGTTTTCCAGTATGTATTTCCAAAGCAAGGCCCTTACCCTTCCTTCCACTGAAATGAAGTGGAACAAATTTCTGCTGAAATTTCTACTTCAGCAGAAATACGACAGGGATGCTGTGACCATGGCTGCAACGACGCTGCCGGACAGCTGCTGACTGCCCGACGCCCCATCGTCCTCTCGCCGAGTTTGCTCCCCAGCAGGACTTGCTGGCAGCACTGGTGCTCTGCGCGGTGCTGCCTGTAATGCTGGCTCTGCACTTACCCAGTCCCAGCACTCCTGTCCCCCTCCCTGCCTTGGCATCCACTGTTCCTTCCAAAGGGAATCACTGCACACAGCAGGGTGGTATGCAACTCATCCTTATGGCAGGGATATGACAGTCATAGTAGGGCGGTTTATCCTATGGATATTACCTACATCGGGTTTTGGTTTGCAATGTCTGTTTTCAGGGGTTTTAAAGTTGTGATGGCAGCACTGCACCGACTTGATCTGTTGAACTATTGTTTAATAAAGATAACACTGCCCTGCTTATTTGTCATTCCATGTAGAAATGGATGTGGGGGTATGTAGATGAACTCTCATCTGAGAAAATTCTCCAAGCACAAAACCAGCAGATTCTGGAAAGGAAGTGGAGGGATATAGGATCTAAGAGGTAGATAAAGGATAAACAAAAAAGTGAAACGTCAGGCAGAATGTCAGAACCTTGTCGTGGACTCCTTAGAAAACTGAAGAGAAATTGGAAAATCCTGGTAGATATCAGCATAAGACTCCAAAAATGCATTCTTCTTAATACACTGTGTTTGAAAGATAAGTTAAATGTTTATTGAAAATCTGTATGTACTATACCTGAAGCTGTGTCCCCCTCCTTCAGACAAAAATGCACTACTATAAGCCTATTACCATTATTAGTTCATAATTCATGCGGTAGAGATTGTTGAGAATGATATTCTTTCTCATTGTAAAGGAATGTGGTTCCCTTGAAATGAAAAACTGACCTGTTTTCCCAAGTACATCACAACATTGCTAAGGACTTTGCTGTAGCTAAACAGACTTAATGAAGCGTAAAACCGAACTTACAGAATTCATAAATAACAAGAAGAATCCAGGCCCTTACATAAAAAATGGTTTCTCGCATGATCAGAAAGTATTTGATTTTTTTTCCTATCACTAATTATATGGTTCTTAATTAAAAACACTTTAAGACTCACTTTGATAAGAACTGGGTCTGATGCTAAAACTTCCACGGAACTTAAGGAATTATTAAGGACAAGATCTAGCCTCATGCTATAGTTTCAAATTATTTTATATTTACCAGCAGGCAGAAGAAGTAAATCTGGCTGTGAAATCAGTGGGATTTGTTTGTTAGGCCTTTTGATTTTTTGCAAGGCAGCATTAAGAAGCAAGGGAATTTCATCACCACAAGTCCTTTGAAATCAAACTCCAAGTAATTGTAAGAAATCAAATTTCAAAATCAATTGATACAGACTTATAAGTCATATATTGTGTTTGTACTAATTGTTTCCTTAATACTTTGGCTGTGTGGATTAATTTTGGGAGGATGCTTGAAGCATAGAGAAATAATACCAAACATGGTTTTTACATTATGTTGCTAAAAGATACACTTGTGAGATTTGAAATCAGGTAGGTGTTTTTCAGAATATTCTTAGAGTTAAAAAAAATTAACATGCAGTCTTTCGTAGGTAATGTTTACAAGGAATGGAGAATTACATCATGTAAAATATCAGTAGCAAAGAACATGCTGAAGGTTAACTGCAGCGATTTTGAAATTTCATTTTAGCATATTTTGATAGTCACACATTTTAACTGGTTTGCAAACAAACTACTTCTTCAAATACAGATTTTCAGCTAAAAGTGATCACTGAGCACAAAAGATCACTTACCTGGGTCCTCTAAAGGCATATCAACAATGACTTGGTCACTGTATTTTCCATAGAGACCATTAGAGCAAACAGCAACTATCTGAAGAACATAACTTGTATTGGGCAGCAGATTATTTAGAATAGCCCCCTAAAAGAAAGACCATGTTTAATCATTTACTTGCAAGTAAGTATCAAATACTTGGAAATGTTATTTTTTTCCTAACACATTTTTCATAGAAACCATAAAGCTCCTTTCTTCTAGGACTCTAAAGTGTGCTTTTTATATTTTAGTGTCACAAATGTTTTTCAGTCAACTTTAAAAACAATCTTGTGAATTTTTACATGGAGGATACCAAACTACATACTTATTTAATGCTGAACACTAGTTTAGGTAACACTAGCTCTGATAAGCTATGAGTCTTTAAAGAGGGTTAGAAGAACAGATCACATTAGTAAAATGCCATGAAGCTGTAATCAGTAACTTAATATTTATAGCAGTAAAACTGTACTGAATCTTATTAGATGCTTGTGTAGGTCATTCTTTCTCATCAGTGAGCAATGAAATACAGATCACTATTAATTGACTAAGGGTTTTATGGTTAAGGAGCTCTGAGATTGACATAGTCATAAACTTCTGGGATAGTACAGGCAAATCTGTGAAAGTTTTCTCTTTTCTGGGCAAGAGAGATTTTTTTAGGTGTTTTTTTTGTTTGGGTTTTTTTGGTGTGGTTTTTTTTGTGTTGTTGTTTTGGTGGGGTTTTTTTGTTTGTTTTAAATTGTTTTTGTGGCTTCACAGTCAAAAAAATGAAGTACAGCTTCTGTGAGCTGCAGCCAAAGAAGTAATTTTTTTATTGAATCAGCTCCCAGCTACTGTTTAATCCCTTATGATAATTAACAGTGAGTGTTTTGCCATCACCCCTCTGTATGAAACTTGAAGAGTTTACAGTTACCAAGTCCTGATACCCATCTGTCAGAAACTCATGCTTAGACTGGTCTTCTCCATCCAATCGTTGATAAAAGACAGCAAATCTCTCAATTGTGGTGTCGTATACAACCCGAGGTCTTTCCCATGTAACAAGAAGACTAGTATAATTCTTTGGATCAGATTGAACATTTTCAGGTTCTGAGCTGCAAACTGGAAGAAAGAAAAGAGGAAAGAATATATTTATTAAATGATACAAATGGCTCTACTAAGATCTTGAGCCACCACCTGAGAAAATTAATGCAAGTCTTTCACGTGCCTCATTTTTAGCTTTCAACTAAAATATCTGAAATGCCATGCACTATACACAGAATCAGTATTTTTAACACTAGATTTCAAAAGCAAGTGAATTTGAAGACTGAGTCCCCTTCCCCCCCTCCTTTTTATAGCATATTTTGTGAAATATTAATATCCAGTTCCCAAAACACAAACTGTAAAGATTCATATATACATCCTTAGCATGCAAAAAATTTCTATTACTTTGTCTTTATAGGTCTATCAGAGTAGCATTAGAAGAGCTCCACACTTTCTCACCAGCTATAACAGACTGCAATCTATAGTAGATTGTTTTTAAAGGTTCAAGGCAAACCTATCACACTTGAATTGCCTCTCAAGGATGTTTGAAACTGTTTATAGTACCTAAAGAAGGGACAAAAGGCAAATAGGGAGAGGCTAAGAAATGATTAGGCTAGCAGGTAGTGATTTCACGGTATTATATTTTAAGGGACCATCTGCTGAAGAAGTCTGATCAGACTCTTGCACTCCTGCGCCTGGCTTGTGCACATCTTTGTAAGCCTGGAACCTGCACTCCAGAGGAAGCCTGGTCAGGCAGCTACTCTTGCAGGTCTTCCAGCCTTTCCCCTCCAATACTCTTTCCATCGTAATCAAGTAAGTGGAACATTTTGATGTTTTCCTAGACATACAGAGGTACTGATTACCAGTGCACTAGAAATTTACTGATACTTTTGGTTTTTAAATTGCCCAAGTACCTGTGTGTGGCTTAAAAGTAATACCCAAGTCAAAGGTAGCTTAACCGGTATGAAAAAATTAGATTAGCAAAAAATATAAATTATTTAGCTGAAGCTTATTGAAAAATGCCCAGTAAGTTGTGATACACAAAAAAATAAAGCAACATACATTTCCTGTTATAAATCCCTCTTATCTCTTTGAAAGCGCACGGGTTTTGAACTTTGGCTGAAATGCTTAGAGTGGCTGTCTGCCCCTGCCCTAGCTTTTGGGAAGTTCCCTTTCTCATGTACTGCATTTCCTTTCATATGCACTTTCATATGTACTGAAAAGGCATTACTCAGTCTATTGCTTCATTTATTACCTCATTTCTACTGCTTTATTCAATCTATTAAACTTGCCAAAATCACTGATAAGAGTACGTGAAGTTGACTTTGAATCTTTCAACAATTTAATTAAATCTTACATATTAAAATGATTAGATGGATGTATTTTTATTACAAAACTTTTAGCTTGACTTTTGCACAAGTAATTACATAATCATTTCCTATTTGGAATAAATGAAGAAACCTATTTTTCAAATCTCAGAATCTGTTTAAAACAAACTTTGAGTATCTAGCCAAAGCAAGCAAAACAAACTGGTAGCTAATTAAGAAAACAAGTGAAGATTCCTTGGAGTTCTCTTAAAGGAAGCAAACACCATGATACTACAAAGCTTTTGGCGGACAACACTGCATTTTGAAAGACAGGCAAAACATTTTTTCCATTAACTTTGCAATTTGCCACTTGAACACAGGAGGGCACTCGAATCTCTCAAAAAAATATTTTGAAAAACAATTTCTTCCGTTCTGTGTGCAGGTGGGCAGTTTTGAGCAGCTCTGGTCTGAGCCAGTCAATGGAAAATAAGTGGTTATTTTTTTAATCTTTTTTTGTTTGTGTGAGCTAATGGTAGAGGCAGTATTAGTCATAGAATCATAGAATCATTATGG